AGAAACACCAATGATGAGAGAGAATCATTGATGGGCTGCCTCCTACATGCCCCCCACTGGGGATCGAGCCCACAACCCGATGTGTCCTGACCAGGAATCGAACCCTGACCTCCTGTTTCATAGGTCCATGCTCAACCACTGAGCAGCACCGGCCAGGCCCATTTCCCGACACACACACACCCCATACACACACACACACACACACACACACACACACTCACACACCGTACTTTACAAAATGATTTCTGATGGTTGAATCATATGAAATAATACCTAATTTTAAAAATGAAAAATATCTTCACCCTGGCCAGGTAGCTCAGTTGGTTTGAGCATCGTCCCCGATACACCAACGTTGTGGATTCGATCCCTCGTCAGGGCACATGCAAGAATCAACCAATGAATGCATAAATGAGTGGAACAACACACCGATGTTTCTCTCCCCCCTCTCTCTAAAAATCAATAAATAATAAATAAAAACATGTCCAATGAATGAGAAGAAACTGAAAGAAAAATTCGTATCAAAAATATGACCAGTGGCTCAGTTGGTTGAAGCATCATCCCTTGCACCAAAAAAAGTTGCAAGTTTAATATCCTGGTCAGAGCAGGCAACTGATCAATGTTTCTTTCTCTCTAAAAGTCAGTGAATATATCTTCAGATGAGGATAAAACACACACACACACACACACACAACCACCCAGTGGGGTTACGAGTGATTTCTTTTTCTTCTCTGTTCTTTTGTGTGTTTTCTAAATTTTCTAAATAAACATGAAATTATTTTTATAATCATTTCTTTAAACCATCACACAAGTGGACTGTTTACCAAGAGATCCCAACTGTCCATGTGTAGACGCCAAATGCACAGCTTCCCACAGAATTGGAGAGCTGTGCAGAGGGGTGGGGTTTTGCCCTGGCGGGAGCAGCAACTAAAAACCTGGGGTTGATGAAGCTCCTGGACGAAGGGCCCCATGGACACACGCCTCGGGGAGGAGCAGCCGGGTCGGCACGTTCTATACAATGTTTGGACATTGCCCATACTCTCTGACCCAGCAATTCTGTCTCTAGAAATTTACCTCACAGCTATTTTCCTAGGTGTGTGCAAAGCCTGGGTAAAGAATATGCCCTAGCTGGTTTGGCTCAGTGGGTAGAGCATCAGCCTGCGTACTGAAGAGTCCCGTGTTCGATTCCAGTCAAGGGCACATGCCAGGGTTGTGGGCTCGATCCCCAATAGGGGTCCTGCAGGAGGCAGCGATCAATGATTCTCTCTCATCATTGATGTTTCTATTACTCACTCCCTCTCTCAACCTGTCTGAAATCAATAAAAACATATAAAACAAAACAAAACAAAAAACCCACAAGATACAATTTTCCCCCTAGCAGACTGGCTGGTTGAATATATTGCTGAGGTGTGGGAAAGCAGGCATAGATAAAGGAGAAACCAATTTACACTCCACGGAGACAATACTGTCAAAACTACAAATACAAATGCTCTCGGCGGCAGCAATGTCCTAAGAACGTACCCTACAGGGAGATGGCTGCACAGTCATTTTTGCAGCCTTGCTTACAGCAGGTACAGACCAGAAGTGACCGCAGTGCCCACAGGGACTGCCGGTGAGATAAACAGCAGCACATCCACACAACCGAGCCCGTGCGGTTGTGTACAAGAGCGAAGCCGCCGCCTCCAAGACAACATTTTAGATGATAAAAGCAGGGCTCACACGGGCACGCGGAGCACACGCCCATTTTTATAACAACGGAAGGCAGAGGGCCCAGGTGGCATCTTGCTGCCTGTGGGTGGGAACGCAGGGACAGAGGAGGCCAAGTTCGGGGAGGCCTTCTCGTCCGTATCTTTGAAACGGAGCTATCGGAATGTTTTATCAACCCAGACGGGAAAAGGGTAACTTTAAGAAGTCAGCAACATCCTGCTACGTGTATCAGCCTCCTGCCTCGTGTGTGGGCTCCGCAGCGGCCCTGGTCTCGGGTCCGTGGAGCCCCGAGGAAGTATCTAGAAGCGAAGGAGCCAGCGAGACAGAGCAGCAGGCAGGGCAGCCAGAGGGGGGAGCGGGGAGGGGACGGGCAGGGCTGGTCCGGGCAAGGACAGAGGCTGCTGGGTTCATCTACCTGGGGGGCTGGCGCCGGGGAGGCCTGGCCGTCGGGGGT